GTGATATATAGTTGCTGAGATAATTGTTTCTAAACAAACAAGTTACAGCATACCAAGTATTTGGACACACAATCTGAAGGTGTGTCACATACCACTCGTGTCGCGTGCCTGTTTCAAGGATTTCTCCTTAAGAACCAACAGCACTCTGAAATAGAATAACGTTGAGGTGTTGGCTGGTATTGGTCTTGTCACATATCACTCCTGTCACGTGCCTAATTTAAGGATTTCTCCTTAAGAACCAACAGCACTCTGAAATAATTGTGTTGAGTCGTTGGCAGGTATTGGTCTAAGGGAAGCCCCGTGGCCAAAATACACTCAACTTATTTCAGGAGTAGGGCAACTCAAGTTTTGGCACTACAAAATATATAATATTCCTAGGCACACTTGGCTGGACACCCCCACTACTATAAAAAGGAAGCCCCCAGGTTTTGATAGTATACTATCATAGCCATGTTAACACAGATAACACTTATTACTCCCACAAACATCAAAGCTAGACAGTTAGAATGGTGAAACAGGGATACCCAAGTCAGCCATGAAATTTTTACATGTAATAAGTTCAATTTAAATACACAAATAACTGAATAAATAATCAGAAGTGATCAGTTAATGGAGTTCAGGAATTAATGACACAACCCAGATATTGAAGCAGCCAGATACAGTTCTTTGAGAGTACAAAAGTTCATCCTAGGAATCTCAAGGTACTGTGGGAAGAGAGCATGATAATGAATAAGTGATCACTTAGCCCAGTTCGTAGGTCAATGCTCCCCTCAGTCCATGGATGGTGATTCGACTGTAGTTGACTCAGGTATCTATGCCTTGATTTGATCTGGTTCAAGTTGACTATCTCACAATCGAGGACACAGGAACTGCACAGGAACCCGACTAGTCTCTCTCTCAGGTCAGGACACAAAAACTGCATCAGAGCCCAACAAAGCTCTTGAAGACTGGTTCTCTGGATTGATGACACAGATGTCTGCAATTGTCCACTCGTCCTGGAACTCATAAACAAGCTCTTGCCATGTTGAAGTAGTGGCACAATGGGCAGCACTTTTGGGTATGCTTGGTGCCCAGAATGGTATGGGTTGGTGGTTGTTGGCTGGACTGTGATTCATCTGCCTGATCTCTAAGGAGGTATCATCCCAAGCTTAGGAAATCTTCCAAGATAGAAATGGAACTTAAAATGCGCCAATTTCTACATAGACTGTATACACGTCTTGACACTTTAGGATCAGGCGAAAGAATGTTTTTTCAAAATCAAACTTAGCGTCTCTAGGAAAGAAGTCCCCTGTATTCCTGCCCAAGGAGTAAACTGGTTTACAGGAATTTCTAAATATATTACCAGAAATCGTCAACCTACAGTTGCAAGTTTGAAAATGAAGATTTATCAAAGCAACTAGAGGGTCTAGAAATGAATATATCACCAGATAAAGGTATATATCAATATAAGGGACTATATACCCTTCCGGACGGGTTTAAGTTTAACATTTGACTGAGCGCGAGGGAAGTCAGAGTTGCGACTCGTCCAATGTGTAGGGTTGGCTGCTCACCTCACGACAGGTCTAAAGGGTATCCTGTGGCCAATATACACCCAACCTATTTCAGGAGTAGGGCAACTCAAGCTATGGCACTACAGAATATATAATATTCCTAGGCGCAACTTGGCTGGACGTCCCCACTACTATAGGAAGATAGCCCCCAGGCTATGATATTGTAATATCACAGCCATGTTAACACAGATTAAGATTAATGGTTACACATACATGAACTCTAGACAGTTTGAACAGTGAATGATGGACACTCAAGTCAATAGTGAAAACTTCCAAAGACATGTAATAAATGCAACACATACATCATATAAGAATCAGCAAAGAACTTCAAGAACCCAGAATGATATGAGGGACCAAAACTTCAAAACAGATCGGACTGATTATCTTTGAGACTCCCTGAGTCAGCCTAGATCATCATCATGATCGTGTGGACAATTAACAGTGAAGCCTGGCAATAAACCAACGATTGACTACACTTATCTGAATCTATGGTTACTTGGACTGGCTGAATGTTCAGTCACTCTGTTGTTATGTTGAAGACAGTCCCACACTAGGCACTCGAACACTGGAGCTACAAATAAGCTCCTGGAGGGGACACTCTGACACAAAGTCAATCACTAAACCCAACTAGCTTCTGGATAGGATACTCTGACACAAAGCCAATCACTGGAGGTACAACACCCATAATGTTGTCTGTATACCAACTGGAGGATTCTATTTGATGGATGACAAAAGGGTGGCTTGCAATCTGATGCCCACCACTGGCTTAGACATAGATGACTTCCCTGTTGGTAGTTTGTTGGACTGCCAATTCACTGCCTGGCCTCCAAGAAGATAACATCCCAAGCCTAGGATTTCTTCCAGAAAATAACTAGTACTTTTCAAAGTAGAATTCAAGCACAAGACGAAATACGTCTGGTCTCTCTGGAAATCGGCAGTGAATGAGGGAAGGAATTTTTAGCGTCCTTTCGGAGAAAGAAGTTACCGTATCATTACGCCGAGGAGTGAATCGTCTTCTCGGAAAAAGAAATATTAATACAGAGAATCTCTATCCCCACAACTGCGAGTTTGAAAATGTAGACTTCACAAGAGATCTAGAACAAATAGACATATCCATTTCGTCGAATAAAGGTATAAACAGACATGATGGACGATGTACCCACCGGACGGGTCTATATTTGAAATGTGACCTGCCCGCAAGGGGCGTTAACGTCACAAATAGTCGAATGTGTAGGGGTGGGTTGGATCACTTCGCAACAAAGTGCTAAAAGTGTTTTCCTATATGTTCTTATTATTTCTATAACAAACCTTAACAAATTAATACCTCAGCTTAGAAATGACATACAGACTTGAATGAGGTAGCATTGATTCACATTTTTTCAATGTCTATCAAACAATGCTAGTTGCATTATTTAAAAAATAATTATGAAAATTTGACTAAAATACCTATTTGTATGCAGATGAAATAATTTCAGTATGAACCACATCAGATGTTGCCATTTTAAAGGTAATAAACAGATTCTGTTTCATTGGGATAATTGCTCATTATGGTTATGTTCTTTGGAATACTGCCAATGAAAGTGTTATGAACGCTGTTTCTTACCATAGTTGACAAAGATGTATTTATTATCATGTAGCAGTTTGTTTGCAGAACATCGCCTGAAAGGAACTTGGCCTCTTTCTAGCTCCCCCACCTCATGTACTTTTGTATTAAGGAGTCACTTATATCATGTGCCCTACTTCATAGATGCATTGCATTGGCCACACTGAAGTGATTACCATCCTCTACTGCGTTGAGGTGCAGTTTGGGTTTTCCCTTCATGGTGTCTTGAGACCAGAATGGCATTTCCCAAAACTCTGCAGCAATTTTAAAGATGTATTACATCTTATATATTTTGTCCTCTGAAATGCTGCCTCGATTTATCATAGACCAGTTTTCGTCTACCTTTTCACACCAGCAGACCTGTAACATAGGACAGATTGTTTCGCATGCCAGCGCAGAACTAGGACATGTCCAAAAAGTATATTGATATAATTTTCTACCGTCTCCAAGAGATAAGATATTTGCAGTTCACTAACGCCAACCTTTGGCGATATTGTGTGGTGATGTCCCCATCTCATCCATGGTGGGACCTTTATACCACTACCTGAAAGCCACAGGAATAGTCTTTTCTAAAAAGCAGGCTGCAGAAATCGAACCTTGATACATCTAAGGTAGTCTATGCTCCGAATGGTCAGAAAGCATTAGAAAGTTGCAGTTAATGTCCATCGCACACCTGGGCACGCAGGAGTAAATTTTAATGAAATAGTTGACCAGCTGGCAAGAAATGCACCAATGCCAACAGGAAGAAGCATGGACAGGGCTGATTTCATCAGTACTGTAGGGACTAGATTGGGGGATAAATCTCTGATGCTAAGATGACTGCGTGACCGAGGAGTTAAGCTTGGTGAAGCAGGTCTACGCCATCTTTAATGTAAAGACAAGTGATACTGTAACCAGCTCATCGTGGGAACAATCAGTGGAAGTATCTTGGAGCAGCAGTTGCACCGCAAGACTGAGCACGCATGGGGATGCCCAGTGTTCAAATACTTTGATTGTGATAACATAACATCTAAGATTGGGATTGCAGAATGATTTCACCAACTTCTGAGACATACTTATGATGTATAGCATTTTATGTACTAAATACAATTATAAATTGACTAATTTTAGCTAATGCAACATCTAGAAAATCAGATATACATTGTTGCAGTGTTGTTTCTGAGAGACAAAGTACTGCAGTGACGTCCGTTAAATTTTTCCAATTTGTAACTGACATGGCCTATAATCCCCACGCCAGTTTATCACTTGCATCGTCTCCAAAATTTACTGAGATAAGATGTGCTGGGGCAAAAAGTGCAGATATCTCACAGCCTAGCTGTAAACCACAACACGGCGTGCCTCAACCCTATACAAGGAGAGTTGAGAAGAAGAAGGACAGACGCGGATTGTTCCTACACACAGTAACTGATATCAACTTACAGGCTGGTAGGGATTTAGTTAGCTTATCTCTCCATTCTGCATCTGTGCCTTAGGCGTTGTGAAAGCACTTCATAATTCCTAATACCCAGTTCATTTCCAGCTGCAGTCGATTTGGCTGCAGACCGTTTTGCATGGATTTCTACAGTGGTATTGAGAGCCAGCCATTCAGTAGCAGTGGCAAACTACTGAATGTAAAATTGCCTAGTAAAACCAAGCAGCCAATAAAATGCTGCGGGTTGGTTATGCATTGTCCTGTAAAGGATACACAGCCAGCTATCTCTGCATCTGTTTTAAGAAATAGATCTTTGTCAGTGAAAGAGAGAGTTCTTTAGAGCTGTATAGAGCCAGTCCTGGTGAGCACTGAAAACAAGATTATTTAAATTTTTTAATGCTTACTCATCATCTGCTTTACACGATGTACAGGGACCATGTCTGGTACAGAAAACAGCGTCGGGGATGCAAACCAGACGCCAGACACTTCTGGTGGGGAAGAGGAAGGTGACGAGATATATAATGAGCTTGTTTTAGAGGATCCTAATGCAATTGTGAGTAATACTTTTCTGTTAGGTTGTTAAGTACAAATCTAAAGGGTCCAGTAGTGCATCGGGTATATAATTTAAAAATTCCTGTACATCTGCCGGAGAGGCGGGGAACGAGTACTGCAAACAAATAAGCCAGTAAAACGGATGTACACGCAAAACTCAGGTCAAGGTAAAAGCCAAAAGTCCATTTTGGACGAACAACCGTGACTTACCGCCGGAATTCACAGCCGGTGAACAAGAAGAAGAAGAAGAAGAAGAATTTTAAAAAAGGGTCCTTTTTCCACGTCTTTAGGCAAATTGGGAATCTGGGGCTAGCCCTATATGTTTATAGACCAGTCAGCACTTGGTGGGTGATGTCAGCATCATGCCGGCCCCCTTTACTTCCCAGGACTGCACCTGGTACGTACTCAAGGCTGGGTCAACCTGGGAATCAAGGTCATTTTTAAAGGGGGGGAAAAAAGTCTGATTTCGTTAGGACGCAAACCTTCCGATCTGCAGGCGGGCATCTAGCCGCCAACGACTTGGTGACTTCCCTGTATATAATACAATATCATAATTATATAGACTAGTCGGCACTCGGTATATGTTACAATTAATATCACATCAGCCGCCTTTACTTCTTGGATAGTAGCTGGTGCCTATAGTAGGCTGGGTTAACCTGGGAACCAAGGTCAGTTTAAACTTTAGACTCTCAGATCAGATGATGTTATTATTTATAAAGATGGCTTAGTGTTTCATGAGGTGCGATCTCTGGGTTGGCATACACAGTACAGGTGAATGGGAAGACAATGAAACAAGAACGCCAAGCATTCAGGTCAACTACTTCTAGCATGATGGGGAAAACAGCTGTCACAGAGGGACTTTCAAGGCTGATGGAACAGAAAGCAACTCAGATATTGATATTGATGGACTCCTTGGGCATGCTTAAGAAGATCCAAACTGGCAAACTCTTTTACAATAATGGGTTGACAGTATCCAGAAATTTCAGCCTCAAGAAACTTTCTTGGCTGTACACACCTTGTCATGCCAGGATGAATAGAAATAAAAGAGCTGACAAACTGGATGTATCTGCAGTGGTTGGTGGAGGAAGAAGTATGGGCAGGGTTGGCACACTGAATCTGCTGTGTTCCGGAGACACTGAGGCGAAGGACTCAGCGATTATGACACTTCTGCTGGAATTGGGTATTAAACGAGAACAAGCATGCAAAAACTGGTTGCAGGGCAAAGAAAAGAGATATGCCAGACAAATGCTGCTGGGAGTTGGCAAGTTGTTTTCTTCATCTTTTTTTTTTTTGTTTTGTTGTTTTTGCTCAGAGGATATGCAGTCATAAGACTTCACACCTTAACAAACACCATGTGGAAGTTAATTTGTGTGTGTGATAAGCCTTCCTCATTGGGGAAAAAACCCAGATCAAGAGCATTTCATGGATTTTCTGTCCATGGTGTTCAGGTGTGCAAGCTAATGAGCAGGCTGATAGATTTACTGCTGCTACTCCTCTAGGTGGTGAGCTTCTGTATAATAAAGTGGATGTGGTGAAGACTAGGACCAACAAATAGACAGAGCAAAAGAACATAGAAAATCATTCCTTTTACTGAAAGATTAATTCAGTGGTAGGTGTGTAGAGGTTCTGGAAGACATTCAACATTGAAGGGAAAACTGTGGTCAGCATCACATCAGCTGCCTTTACTTCCCAGGACTGCACCTGGTACCCACTAAAGGCTGGGTCGACCTGGGAGTCAAGGTCATTTTTGAAAAAGAAAAAAAAAGTTCGGCTTCGCCTCAGAACATGAACCACGACCTTCCGATCTGCAGGCATGTGTCTAGCTGCCAACAAAAGGGCGACTTCTGAAGGGGAAACAGGCTGGCTTTTAATCAGGTTGCAACTGGTACTATTCGTTGGCTACTCAAGAAGGAGACGGAGCACATGTGGGAATGTCCTGAGTGCAGTGGTGTCAATTCTTGATTCATTCATTCATTCATGGGGGGGGGGGAGCTGGAGGAACTAAAATTGGAATCTAAATTATAAATACTTACTTTTTACTATCTCTATACAGGACATAGACCTCAATCACTGTCGCATTGGGAAGATCAGAAATCTAGAGAATGCTGTTCAAGCTGAGGTAAGAAACCTCTTTATTTAGCTATGTCTTTTCTAGCTATTTTGTGTAAGTTGTATTTTTTCTCTGGGAAGGCTAACATTGGCCAAAAAGCAAAAATACTGCAGTCATGCTGTAAACGGCCACTTTACAGAATGTCACATAGTGCTTTTTCCTCTTCTTTTTCTCTTGTCTTCCTTTTTTTCCCAGATTTTGGTCATCATTATTTCTGAAATTTCTCTCCCTGTTAATTATTGTTATACAATGTTTACACGGTGCAAGGTTTTCATTGTGAAATTGTATTTTATCACAATCAGCGTCACTGCACATTGGGCATTACCATGCTAACTCAGTCCTCTGATGCAGGGGCCACCCCAAGGTACCTCTATTCATTGTTCCCATGAGAAGCTGGTTATAGTGTCTCCTATCTCAACCTCAAAGGTAGCTTAAATATGATTCGCCGTGCTTTACTTTCAGGGCACACAATCATGTTTGTGTGAGAGATTTGACATTATCTGCCAGCCTGATCGCTACAGCATTGATGATATCTGCTCTGTCCATCTTTCTTCCCACTTGTGTTGGTGCATGCCAGTTGGTCCACTCATTCATTACCTTTTACACTTGCATGTATAGGTGTGTAGATCCATATGAAGTAAGTAAAAAGTAAAGATCCCTTTTAGGTGCATCGGGCATATGGGAAGAGTGCCCATATTTTTACAGACCATCGGCACTAGGTGGGTAATGTGGTCAGCATTACGCCGGCCATCTTTACTTTCCCAGGACATACATCCTGGTACCCATTTTAGGCTAGGTCAACCTGAGACGCCCTATACCCCTATAAAAATCCACGCAGCCAGCAGTGGGTTTCGATCGCGGTACGTTGAAAGGTCCAGATGAGGGAGATAAATTTGATTTCTGAATGCTTTCTACCATTAACAATATAAACAATCTGTTTCAGTTTTCTAAAGGATGTTCATAGTCTGAAATTATGAAATTATTGTAGTTTGCTTCGTTAATTTGGTATGTTGGGGTAACCACAGAAAAGTGGTTTAGTTTTTTGCTTCAGTCTGATGTTTTGGAGATCCCTAGGTGTTGTCACTGGAGCTAGGGAATTCTTGCTTTGTGACAGACTATCTGCTCTGCAGATTTTTTTTTTTTTTTTTTTTTTTTTTTTTTTTTTTAACGTATCCAGAAACCATGAGTTGTAAACCCTTTGGCTCGGTACTATGGATATCGCAACCCTTCGGCCTTGATTCCATTATAGGTACCGTTAATCTGGGAGAAATGTGGCTTTTCTGCCTACCCCCGGGAGTGAACCCGGACCACAAGGAGTTCGTCACCCGGCCGCCGCGAAAGTCAGGTTTAACCAACTTCGCTAGAGAGCTGGGCTGCTCTGCAGATAAGCCAAGCCATTTGTGTTAAAACTTGATGCAGTGAAGTTGAACATGTTGCTCTTAAACACCTGTTTCTGTTTTACTGTTTTTGTTGTTGCAAATGTGTATAAGACGTTATGCTTATGACAGAGATGAATGGATAGGGTGGAGCTGGTGGGTGATATTTGCAGCAGTGAAGCTCAAAGAATCATAGTTGAGTTAAGAACTGACATTAAAGCACTCAGGATATTCCCATAATCCCTCCATCCCCATCTTCAGCAGCCAGCACAGTTCTAACTCTGATGATACCTGTAGTAGAGTTTATGGCATGCCTTGCCTTTCCTCTGCGTTTTGGGTGTTGGCCTGATTTCCTTCTCACTCCCTGTTGCACTATTCTCTTGAGACCCTAATGATCTGTTTTTGCTTTCACCCTGTTCACCTGCTCTCAAAGGGAGCATAGTTCACAAACCATGATGCATAACAAGTCTGTCTACCTATTCATTTCCTAACACACTTGAATTTCCTGGAGTTGAATGTTCAATGAAGAATCAGTATTACACCACTTTGGACACTACCATAAGCACTCAATCCCCATCTTCAGCAGCAGGCGAAGAGTTCCCATTCTGATGGCACCAGTAACTGTCTGATTGTATATCTGTCACACCTTTCCCTTGAGTGTTGAGCGACGACCAGATCCCCTTTGTACACAACGCCATTCTGGAGATTTTCTTCAGAAGAACACTAACTACCTGGCGTCAGAGGCTCAGAATGCTGAAGATAAGAAGAAGAAGTTGATGGCCCTTCTGGGTTTTGTTAAGCTCAACAAATGTGTTTCAGACGCTGTGCTTGCGCCAGAACCTGATCAAGAATATTGAAGGACTGAGCACTCTTGTCCACCTGAAGGAGTTGGATCTGTATGACAACCAGATCACAAAGATTGAAAACTTGGAGCCGCTTGTCAGCTTGGAGTAAGCAGCTGTTAATGTGTTCATTGTTACTCAATCAACATATCTTTCTCATTACACTTCAAACTATTCAATCTAGAAAGACTCTAATCTTGTCAGTGTATTCACATACACAAATATATTTATACACACATATATCTTTGTATACATATGTCTGTGTGTGTATATATATTATACATATGTATACATATATACATACATATATATGTGTGTATATACATGAATAGGGATTTTCACTATTTGGCCGAATACGAATAGTGAGACCAATTATTTGTCTGAATACGAATACGAGTAGTGTATCATCATCATCAGGTGCCTTGCCGACTGGCGTGGGCCTTGCCACTATCTGCGATCTCCTGCAGCATGTATTAGTTCGTGTGCTCACACACGTCCATGCCATGCAGCAAGACTGTCAAGAATCTTCTCTCGTTGTTTTCCTCTATCCCTCCTTCCACAGATCTTTCAAGTGGTCACCACATGTTCCATTTTCCCTCTTCTCATAACATGGTCGAAAAATGATGACTGTCTCCTTCAGATGTCAGTGATTAGTTGCCTTGGGGCTCCTGCCTCTTTCAAAACCTCTTGGTTGCTATTTTTTTTTTTGGGTGCTGTCCATGGTATTTTAGGCACTGTTCTGTAAAGCCACATCTCTGAGGCCTCAAGAAATTGTTTGGCCTGCCTACCGATTGTCCAGGACTCACAGCCATATGTTAAAACTGGATGCTGTACCACGCAACCGGGTCGCAGTTGCCCAGCTACAACAGACTTAGGCAACAGCAACTATTGTGTTAATGAGAGAGTTATTTCAGTCTATCGCAGTGTATGCAAAGCGGGTGTAATGTAACCACTATTCGTATTCGGCCCGACCGCAAGTATTCGGCTGAATACCGAATACGAAGCGAATATTCGGTACATCCCTAATATATATATATACACACACACACACACACATTTTGCTAGGCAGGCCACGCCAGCCTCACAGAAACGGGAATTCCCGCTTGAGCAAGGTATATATATATATATCGTGGGTTCTGGTCCTAACAGCCAGACTACTTAAGCTCTCAGGTTGACCCAGATATAAATATATATAAATAGTAAACTGTGCCTATGTAAACTATATATATAACGACAAAATTCCCAGTGTCTCAAAATTCTCAGTGTCTCATTCATTTCAGAAGTGCTCAGATACTGTCATCAGTATATCCTTCAACATATTTTGACTGACTATTAGTTAATCATCAGATCATCCTAACTGCAGACACGCTCGCGCTGAACACTCTATCCTTCAGCATATTTTGACTTACAACACCAGTTCTTTGTTGGTTTACTGTTCTTCATTGGCCCCCTGTTTTTTTGTGTGTGTGTTTTTTCCAGCTACACATCATATTCCTTGCTACTGTGGGTGTCTTCTGTGTCTTGTACATTTCTGCAGTATGTTGTATTTTGTATAGAGAAAAATAGGGGCTCTGGCAGGACAGATGAAAAGAGAGTTGCTGAAGAAAATTTTTTTTTTTTTTTTAAAGAAGTGGGGGGGGGGGGGGGGGGGGCAATGAAGTACTTTGAGCCCATTGAATTACTGTTGATGTGTTCAATCACTGTTGATGTGTTGAATTACTGTTGATGTGTAGAGTTACTGTTGATGTGTTGAATTACTGTTGATGTGTTCAATCACTGTTGATGTGTTGAATCACTGTTGATGTGTTGAATCACTGTTGATGTGTTGAATAACTAACTGTTCAGTCAATTTCCTATACATTTCTTTATTAGTAAAGGAACCCTATTCCACGCCTTTGGGCGTATTCATCAAATATTGCTACCTATATTTTGTAGGCCAGTTGGCACTCGGTGGGTGATGTGGTCGACATTACACTGCCCGCCTTTTTTTCTTTCTCTTAGGACTTTTTTTTTTTCACCTGCTACCCACATAAAGATGGGTCAACCTAGAAGCCAAGCTAATAAATTTTAAAAAATCCAGCTCAGTTTGGAACTGAATCAACAACCTTCAGATCCACAGATGAGCTTCTAGCAGCTACACCATGGCGGTGCCCAATTCTGTATTAGTGCAACATTGTTGTATTAGTGCAACATTGTTGTATTAATGCAATATTGTTGTATTAGTGCAACATTGTTGTATAAATGCAACATTGTTGTACTAGTGCAACATTGTTGTATTATCCCAACATTGTTGTATTAGTGCAACATTGTTGTATTAGTGCAACATTGTTGTATTAGTGCAACATTGTTGTATTAGTGCAATATTATTGTATTAGTACAGCATTGTTGTATAAATGCAACATTGTTGTATTAGTGCAACATTGTTGTATTAGTGCAACATTGTTGTATTAGTGCAACATTGTTGTATTAGTGCAACATTGTTGTATTAGTGCAACATTGTTGTATTAGTGCAACATTGTTGTATTAGTGCAATATTGTTGTATTAGTGCAACATTGTTGTATAAATGCAACATTGTTGTACTAGTGCAACATTGTTGTATTATCCCAACATTGTTGTATTAGTGCAACATTGTTGTATTAGTGCAACATTGTTGTATTAGTGCAACATTGTTGTATTAGTGCAACATTGTTGTATTAGTGCAATATTGTTGTATTAGTGCAACATTGTTGTATTAATGCAATATTGTTGTATTAGTGCAACATTGTTGTATAAATGCAACATTGTTGTACTAGTGCAACATTGTTGTATTAGTGCAACATTGTTGTATTAGTGCAACATTGTTGTATTAGTGCAACATTGTTGTATTAGTGCAACATTGTTGTATTAGTGCAACATTGTTGTACTAGTGCAACATTGTTGTATTATCCCAACATTGTTGTATTATCCCAACATTGTTGTATTATCCCAACATTGTTGTATTAGTGCAACATTGTTGTATTAGTGCAACATTGTTGTATTAATGCAACATTGTTGTATAAATGCAACATTGTTGTATAAATGCAACATTGTTGTATTAGTGCAACATTGTTGTATTAGTGCAATATTGTTGTATTAGTGCAATATTGTTGTATTAGTGCAATATTGTTGTATTAGTGCAATATTGTTGTATTAGTGCAACATTGTTGTATTAGTGCAACATTGTTGTATTAGTGCAACATTGTTGTATTAGTGCAACATTGTTGTATTAATGCAATATTGTTGTATAAATGCAACATTGTTGTATTAGTGCAACATTGTTGTATTAGTGCAATATTGTTGTATTAGTGCAATATTGTTGTATTAGTGCAACATTGTTGTATAAATGCAACATTGTTGTACTAGTGCAACATTGTTGTATTATCCCAACATTGTTGTATTAGTGCAACATTGTTGTATTAGTGCAACATTGTTGTATTAGTGCAACATTGTTATGTGGAATTGTTTTATAATAGTTCCATAACTTGTATATTTCTTTCACACTGACAGGCATCTGGACCTGTCCTACAATCGTCTGCGGAAAATCGAAGGACTCGACACATTGACGAACTTGCGGAAACTGTACTTGGTCAATAACAAAATCAGCAAGATAGAAAACATCAACCATCTGACTCAATTGGAACTGTTGGAGCTGGGAGACAATAGGATCAGGGTAACCCCAGATCTCATTCTCAGATTTTTGTTTTGTCTCACTGGTTTGGTCTATATTTTTGTCTCCCACATGTTGTACATTACGTTGCTGTTTGCTCGCACTACCCCAGAATTATAAGGGGTCTCCGCGCCAAAGTGGTAAACTAAGAAAGGATTTCTCTTTTAAAGTCGGAGTGCCTCTGCCTGAGATGTGAGGAACCAACAGTCTGCACAAAAATTCAGCCAAATCTGTATTTTTAAAAAAAATGTAGACGAAACTCAAGTCCTGAAATAGGACCAATGTCCAAAAGTGGACGAACAACCAGAACTTCTGCTGGAGTTTACAGTCGGTGAGTATGAAGAAGATTATTCTGGTATTATGAGGGTGGCTAATTGTGCAAAGTTAAAAGTGTTATGGCCAGACAATAGCACCATGCAGGAGGCCAAAGAAGAATAGACCAACAAGAACTGATGTCGTCAACCACTTCACTCTGTGGGATTTACTCAAGAGGGGAATCCATGCACTTATGGACAAAATGATTTTGTGTGCAGTGATGATGATTTGTCAGCTAACTAGATAACTGACTTGTTGTTCTTGTTCATATTACTAAACTTTAAACCTGTTTGTCATGTTGTGTGTAGTCTGACAGTGTGTTCCAACAAACTCCTGCAGGTGATAGAGGGCATCGACCAGCTGACGAACCTCCACCACCTGTACCTGGGCAAGAACAAAATTACCAAACTACAAGGCTTGACCACTCTCCGCCGACTCACTTGTCTCAGTGTCCAGGTATGTTGTTCCGCTTATTTTAGCCATTTTAAATATAAAATTTTTTTTAAATTTTTCATTAACAAATACTTTTTTAAAAAAGGGGTGGGAGGTGTGGGGAGGTTGAACCTGTGGGAATTCTTTAAAAACCAGTATTACATAGATTTCTAATGAATTTTGTAAAAAAAAAAAAAAATAATTATCCGCATTTAGTAAATTTATTTAAGTATATAAAGGGTCATCAATGAACATGAACAGAGTGAAGCATTAAAAAAAAAAAAAATATATATATATATATATTTAATATATATATATATATATATATATTATATATATATATATATATATATATATATATATATATATATATATATATATATATATATATATATATATATATATATATATATATGGTGTGACCGGGATGTGACCCCGTGACCTCAATCACTGATGCTTACAGGAACGTTTGACATCAACTTGGCTTTAAAAAGCCATTGGGATCATAATGGCCCCCCTTACCCCATAAATTTTTATTAGTTACTGTATTCATATCCTGGGCTTTTAAACAGTTCCCAGGCACACATAGAACCAATGGAATTTAACTACGCTTTTCAAGAACAAGTCCTGTAAACATGGCGATATATCGGCATTTACAGAAACTGTTTCACAGCCACAAGCTTTCTTCAAAGTCGGAGTGCGTCTGCCTGAAAGGCAAGGAACAAGCAGTCTGCAAACAAATGAGTCAGATCTGTAAAACTGATGCACACGCAACACTCAGGTTCTGGAACATGACTGCAGTCCAGAAGTGGATGAACAACCAGAACTTTCTGCCAGAGTTTACAGCTGGTGAACACGAAGAAGAAGAAGACAGCCAGAAGCGACTAAATTTGGTCTTCTCGGTGCAGTAGAGTTAAATCCATTCAGTTCCTAGCAACACTCTTTGTGTTTCTTGCATTCAGTTCCTAGCAACAGGCTTTGTGTTTCTTGGTGTATACTTGTATGATGTGTGGAGAGGATGCTGTGCTTGTAAGCGACCAGGGGATCTGGCGACACTGCACACAGAGGAAAGGTACGATGGATGTATAATCTGACCGCTGCTGTACCATCAGATTGGGAACTTTACTGACTGTGGGAGATGGAGACAGAGCACCTGGAGGAATATCTTGAGTGTTCTCATTTCCTGGCTCTTCTTGTTCTTAGCGTTCGCCGGCTGTAAACTGTGGCAGAAAGTTTTGGTTGTTTGTCCACTTCTGCACTTTGATCTTGTTCAAGAACTTAGTTTTGCTGCACGCTAATGTCCCCTGTAACACTATGTCATCCCCTACACTTACACAAACCATTACACTTTACACTATCATACCCCATATTCTTACCGTAAGACTATCATATCCTCTACATTTACCATAACACTATCACTATCTCCTAAACTTACACTAACCTTTACACTTTACATTATCATATCACCTACACTTAACACTATCACTATCTCTTAAACTGACACTAACCTTTACACTATCTTATACCCTACACTTACCATTACACTGTCATATTCCCTGCAATTATCATTACACTGTGATGATAACTTCACTAACCCAAAGCAGTACACTATATCTCCTACACTTACTGTTACACTCTTACACCTCCTACACTTACCATTACATTCTTACATCTCCTGCACTTACCATTGCACTGTCATATCTCCTACATATACACTAACAATTATACTGTTATGGTCCTTACATTTACACAGACCATTACACTATATGGCCCCTACGCCTACTATCACCCTATAATGACACCTACACTTACACAGACCATTACACTATCATCAGGGACGATCAAGAAGAAGATGGATGAAAGGAGTCACGGATACTTTGAGACTCCCCAGCAGCACAGCATACCAGGCAACTGAGGGTGCTTTATCTCAGATATCGATCATCTGGTAATCTGTGGCACAAGGGGGAAGATGGACAAAAGAAAATGTGTGTGAATTTCTTCAGTTGTACAGCAATGTTCATATAAAGTGACATCTGGTTCTTGTTTTTATCTCTGTCACAGAGCAACCGGCTGCTCAAGATTGAGGGGCTGGAAAACTTGACTGAGCTCGATGAACTTTACCTCAGTCATAATGGGCTGGAGAAGATCGAAGGACTGGAGAATTGTGTAAGTTATCCCATCATTGTCTGTCTTCTTCTATTCATCCTTCCTGAGATTGATTCCTTCCTTGTAAGCTTTTCTTCTTATATATCTTCTATTCTCCTCATTTATTCTCTGTTTTCATTTCTTCTCTCTTTCCTCATCAATTACCCTGTTGGATTTTTAATCCAGTTTGGTGGATAAACATGCCAGTCGTTAAGGTCATGGCATGTTACTTGCTTCTGGTCACAGTTTGCTGTCACCTTTTTCCCTAATATGCAGAATGAAAGTAGTTCTGTTGCCCAGTTACTGAGCTGAGTGCACGAAACGATACTGTGAGCTGTGGAGTTCATGTGGAATGCTTTTCAGTTAAGGAGGTTTTTTTGAGCATTGCAGAGTCGGGACATGGTAAGTGGTCTGGTGCCAAAATACTGGTGGTACTTTATGCAGTATTATAAGCAACTGTTGATTTGTTGTAACCACTCCTTCCATCAGTGATGAACTGCAGTCCTGATGGTGGACTGTGTGGTTTAGCACTTCTGGCTGCTGCCTTATGAGGTTAATGCCTTGTGCATGCTGTTGACTTTACCGGGACTGTAGTCTGGTTAATTTTTTCAAAAATTATAGGCATTGGCTGGTATTCACTAACACAGGAATGAGGCAAATATGGGGTAACCTACTTGCTGTGAAGTTGGAACTGCATCTAATATCTAACATTACCCTTGGTAATGAGTGGGAAATCCTGTGACATCAAAAGGGGTTCCCCAATAGGGGCGGGTCAAGAGTGTGGTGGCCAGCTAAGAAAGACTTGTGGCCAAAGGGAGATAGTGAGTCCAGGTGAATAAGCGAATGATTGTTGAGAATCTCTTGAGGAAGAAGGGAACAAAGAACAGAAGAAAGAGGGATTCTGTGTGAGACAGCGAGAGGAAATGGATGGTTGGACCGAGTGATCGTTTGACGTGAATCCGAATAACTGACAGCAGGAGCAAATATCTGGCAATGCAGAGAGAAATGCCTCAGCAGACGATGGAATCCTGTATGATTGAAGTTAAGCGGATCAGTAACCACAGACAGAAATGAATGGCAGGTACAAGTTTGAACATGATAATTCAGATCAACAGATTCGTTAGCACCTGAGTTGATTTGGGTAATGAGAAAGATTTTGTTGACGATCCACGATAGGGACCACATCGACACAGCTGATGAATTAGCAATATACATTTGTGTGTGTAAGCTAGTTTTCCTCTTGGTGTGTTGTTGATACTAACTCTCTCAACTGGTGTTACCGTGCAGTTAGACAGAAGGCAAGTCATTGCATCTTGTATCATTACTCTTCTTTATCCATGACTTGGCCTAGGCTTTCTCTTCCCTTGTTGTCGTGTCTTCTCCTTTCTCTCATCTGTCATGTATTTTTCCTTATTGGTATCAGTCAGTCAGGTGCCCTCTCCACAGTGTAGGTTGGCTGCAATGGATCTCTGACACAGTCAGTCTCTTGTCTTGGTAGTTCACTCTCCCAGACTGCTGTTCATTCATCTCTTGTGTTATCCTCCCACTTGTATCATGTGTACACCTCTTGCTTTTGACTTTTCCTCCAGTATGCTTTTTAATAGTGTTATGTCTTTAAATGTGGCTGAAAAACATCCACATAAGTCGTCATCAAATAACATACAAGAAACAATCACCAACAACTGGTAATTTAGTATCAGACACTGTTTTGTCTTTATGATGTCTGCCATTTTTGTCTGTTGTTGGATAAAGTACAAGGGAGATCACTCTCAGTATCCATATTTAGCTGGCAACACTGTTTTTAATTACTTTAATTGCCCGGCTCTCTAGCGTATTTGGCTAAAACCGGATTGCGCGGTGACCGGGTGATGAACTCCTTGTGGTCCGGGTTCACTCCCGGGAGTAGGCAGAAAAGCCACATTTCTCCCAGATTTACGGTATTTACAATGGAAACAAGGCCGAAAGGTTGCGATATCCATAATAACGAGCTAAGGGTTAACAACTCATGGCTTCTGGATACTAAAACAAATAAACAATGACTTTAATTTATAATTAAACTGAAGAAAATAATTGTAAGTATAATATCAGATGGTTCAGTCCTCTGATCAGAATGGAACAAAAGCAGCTAGCAGTTAGAGCATAAATGAGAGGAAGATCATAACAACAGAGATGTCTTAGTGAGATAAGAAGAGATAAAAATCAGGAATGAAGAAATTAGAAGAAGACTAGGACTGAAACCAGTCATACAGTTCATTAAAAAACAACAAATGAGGTAGTTTGACCACCTGAAGAGAATGCACTGGTACCAACTGCAACAGAGAGCTACGCTGAAAAAATATAATGAACACAGCAAGGTGAAGAACATGAAAGAGATGGAGCGACACCATCAGAAGCAACCTAACATAAATGAACACCAACTTGTACAATGCATTTGTTGGCTTCTCATGGTTTTACTGGGCAGTTTTAGGTTCAGTAGTGTGCCATTTCTGTTTGAATTGTTCACTCTCATATTGTTGTGGAAATCAACACAAAGTGATCTGCTGCCAAATTGCCTTTAGCTGAATTAAATCAGGTATGTCAGAATCATGAACCTGTCTTAGTAAAAAAACCCAAGCCACAGATGATGACTGTATAATATAAACTTTGTTTACTCACAGACTAAACTGACAACCCTGGACCTGGCAGGAAACCGGATTAAGAAGATTGAGAATATTGAACACATTGAAGATTTGGCCGAGTTTTGGGTGAGTAATGACAGGATGTTGTTGCATGTTTGTTCTGCAGATTTTACAAATAATTGAGGCATTCAGTCTTTTTCTTCGCTTTCACCATAAAGCCCATCAGAAAGTTCTGTTTGTTAATCCAGTTCTGAACTTAAGTCATATTCCAAAACCTGCTTTTTGCATGCACATCCATTTTACAGATCTGGCTTATTTGTATTGCAGACTGTTGGTTCCTTATCTCTCAGGGAGATGCACTTCATAATCATTGTGCCCGTTCCAGAGATCTCTTCCTGCCCTGATGCCACGAGGCATTCCATGAATAGAAAAAAGAAGAAACAGCTATAGAGGTATTACTCTGGTCTGTCCTGATGGCTTAGGTGGGCCAGGGAATTCATCATCTTGATAAATGGGCATTCAGTGAAGATGATTCAGAGCCTGGCTTGATAGGTTATGGTGAAAATCCCAGAGAGTTAGATCTGGGCTGCAGAATGTTTGACACGGTTTTTAAATTGCTTCCTATGTTAAATCTTGTGTGAGGTCTGTTATCAAATTAGATAATAATTTGTGTTGTCTTCTCATAGTTCATCTTTAAAGATTGCTTTACAACTGTCTATTTCTCTTTAAAGAAGAAAACATCTGGTTCCCTGTGTGGGTTCCGGGGCCCTATTTTAGGGAAAACAAGGATAAACCCACTGTCTACCCAAAAGCATGCCGTAAGAGACGACTGATTGGGAGCTTACTTCAAAGTCAGAGTGCATTTACCTGAAAGGCAAGGAACCAGCAGTCTGCATACAAATGAGTCAGATCTGTAAAATGGATGCACACGCAACACTCAGGTTTTAGAACAGGACTGCAGAAGTGGACGAACAACCAGAACTTTCCACCGCAGTTTACAGCTGGTGAGGAAGAAGAAGAAGATTTGGTGAGCTGCATTTTATTATACAGGATAGAATGACTTGGCACTAGTTGGTGGGGCTCCATTGGGGGGAGGGATGCGGGGGGGTTAATTAAGGATTTGCTGAAATCGGATTTGTTGGGTTGCAGATATCGCAGCTTAGAAGCACCATAGCTTCATACCTGTAAACAACAAGCCAGCCATCCTTTTAAGGCAAATCACATGTAGTAAGTTAAAGCCAACAAATAAATACTTTTAACTGAATTACGATTTCTTGCGAGTACCAGACCTGTATGTTTGGGTGGGGTGGGGGATAAACCCACTCCCCCCTCCCCCCCCCCCCCTTTTTTTTTTTTTACAAGCATGTCATAAAAGGCCATTAATTAGGGGTGTTTGTTTTGATTGAAAGTCGGAATGCATCTGGCAGTCTGTATACGACAAAGCCAGTTCTATAAAATGGAAATGCACACAAAATTCATGTTCTGGAACAAGACGAAAGTCCAGATATGGACAAGCAACCAAAACTTTCTGCTGAAGTTAACAACCGGTGAGTGCTAATAAGAAGAGAACTGAAATGTATAAATCCACCTGACGAGGCACATTGAAATATGCCAGAAATAAATTGTGCAATCTTTTCTTTGTGTCATTTTTGTGTGTGTTCAAACAATGTTTGAATTGCCTCTGTATCCTCTTTCCTTTTCAGTTCAATGATAATGCCGTGGATTCGTGGGAAGAGATCAAGACACTGGCCAAGTTGAAGAAATTAGAGACAGTCTATATGGAGAGAAACCCGATTTATTACGACTGTGAGGGAAAAATGGACCCAACCTATCGAAGGAAAATCTTGCTGGCTTTGCCGTGGGTCCGGCAGATTGACGCTACTTTAGCAAGATGATGATCATTGGTGGTTGTAGTGGAAGGGGGACACCACTCTGCAGTCGCCAACACCATGTTTTGCTAGAGTTACTACTCCTTCAGTACCAGACAGTTTACTGTACATTAAGTGATATACTATACATTTCTCGGTTTGTTTTTTCTTGTCACTTTCTTTGGTTATACTAATTCTTTCTGTCCCAATCATAACTCTAAATCAAGGCTGGGCAACCCTTTTTTTTTCTGTGGGCCAAATTTAGAATTGCAAACCTAGTCACAGGCCATTTGAAAAAAATCCATTGTAAATATAACATCCACATTTGCTCTAACGCGATATCTTTAATGGGATAACCTAAGATTAAAATTCCTTACTATGCCTCTGGCCAGACACTCTCACCCACTGAAGCCCTTTTACATATTCTTAAATGTGTCTGTTCAGAGAAAAAGAACGGTCGTCTCATTGTATTTTATTATCAGAATCCACCGACAGAGACTGTCTCCTAATGTCTGAGTTTGTCTGCAGTCCGTGTTTCACTACCATGTTCTGAAATTTGGCGACATCAGTTTCTGGTTATCACTATTTTGGATGTTGCTATTTGGATTTTTGTCATTCTGCAAACAAATGTAAATTGTATTTTGCTTTTTTGTGAACTCAAGGGCCAGATTACATAGTATTTTTACATCAGCCTTGCGGTCCAGTAACAATTTGCTCTTTGGGTGAGGTTTGGCCCTCGGGCCATAGTTTGCCCATTCCTGCTCTAAATTCTTCTTTCTCCTAGTTGTATTAACTCCTCAGTGTTCGAAGATTTTTTTATGAAGTACATGCAGTTTGGTCTGTAAATTTATGAATGAAAAAATGCCTGGGACTAAAAGATTTAAATTTCACAGCCTGGTTTTTTTTTAATATTTTTTTTATTGAAAAAAATTAATATTTGTACATAGATAATTCCAATGAACATATAGTAATGGCACATATATAGACATAGTGACACATATCACAGTATTTTTCTTTTCAACTTTAAAATACAAAAGGCAAGCATTGTAGAGATTCTGCTAAAATGACTCATTGTAAAGTTAAAAAAATTATTATGCCACTAAATGCATTGGACATATGATGCTTGATCCGTATTTTTATAGAACACTGGATACTTACTGGGAAAGTGTGGTCAGCATTCCCCCCCCCCCCCCCCCTCCCAGCTGCTTCCGAGGAAAGAATGAAAAGAAAAGAATCATTAAATCGATCAGGAAACCACCAGCCCCGGCACAAGACGACTATTTTATTACGGACAGATCAGAACAAGTCATTATCCTCCGCCTCAGAACAGGGCACAACCGATTACGTAACCACATGTACACACAATTCAAGATAGGCGTATCAGCCATGTGCACCTGTGGAAAGGTGCCCTAGACAGCAGAGCATGTACTCTAGGACTGCACCGAATTTGACACATTAAAGCAAACCTTTTGGCCAGAAAGAACAACAGTGAAATGTAAACTCTATGGACCACTGAATGAATTAACAACAACAGTGAAATTTACACAAGAGACAAAATTGCTGATATAGACCAACTTATTTCAGGCGAACGATAAAAAAAGAAGAAGTAGAAAGAAAGCAGCAACACTCACCATAAACTACCATCATGGAATTTCACCGATTAAAGAAGCCTACTTTGCGGGCACAGGATATAAGTGAATCCTTGAGTATGAAATTACATGAGGCGGGAGAGCTGGCGAGAGACCGAGTTTCTTTCAGGCATACTGTAATGAGAGTGACGTTCTGCAAAGGACCTGCTACATGATGATGATGATGACTTTGTGGAATCCATCTCACTTACAAGCAGGGCTTTTTTTTTTTTGGATGGTGTGCAGTGCTGGCACCTTTTTATAGGCATCATTTTTTTGTCAGAGATACTGTAATAGACATGTGGTGAGTGCCTGTATATTTTTACACACTTGTTGGTGAGTACAGATGCCTTGTTTCTAGACAAATGCCCAGCATACAAGTAAACTATATACTAGATTGTGGGTAGGTTTTCTGACGTTTGAAATTTAGCTTGGACTGTAGACTGTTTTATTGTGTGACTGTAGCTGTTAAAGAGGCTTTGTTATGAAGTTCACTGTGCATGCTAGGCCTTCAGTTAAAATTATATTTATTCTTTCTTCTCTCTCTCTCCCCCCCCCCCCCTTTTTTTTTTTTTCTTCTTTTAATTGTTATGTTGCAAAAAAGGAACAAAGAACAAGACACTTTTTCGTCCAAGATCTAAACCTGGCTTTCATGAAACAGCCAGAAACAAAATGTGAAACAATCAGAAACAAAATGTGAAACAGTCAGAAACAAAATGTGAAACAATCAGAAACAAAATGTCATAAAACAATCAGAAATGAAATATTTCCAGAAAAGTTTATCGTAAAAAATGTGAAGAAATCATGTTTTTGCGGTGGTGGTTGATTGTTATGCATCTTAAGGAGAAGATTTAAAACAGGTTGTAATTTTACCCCAAAAAAAGTTAAATGTGACTTAATGCTACCAGTGTCCACTGGGGACCCTTACTACAACTAATGAACTTTCCTTTGAAGTGGGAGTGCATCTGCCTGAGAGGCTAGGAACCAGCAGTCTGCATACAAATGAGTCAGATCTGTAAAATGGATGCACACGCAACACTCAGGTTCTGGAACAGGACTGTAGTCCAGAAGTGGGTGAACAACCAGAACTTTCCGCCAGAGTTTACAGCTGGTGAATGCACAGAAGAAGAAGAACTAATGAGCTTAAAAATCATAACAGAGATGAGATAGACGTTTTAGATCTGCCGGAGTAACAAGTACAGATACAGTTAAAAGTGAACAAATTACAAGTTGGGACTGAGAAAGGTCATACAGTTCATTAAAGAGTGACCGATAAGATGGTTTGGCTCTCAGACACGAATGTCCTGAACCAGCTGCCATAGAGTTTCTCTGAAGAGATATAATGATCACAGAGTAAGGGGACACTTCGGATGGCTACCATATGCTTTAATGCGAGTGTAGGCTAGATATGCTGAGACAGCAGTCTGTCAATCTTTCCACAAAGGACTGTGATAAACATTCTTTGTGTTTTTCGTTGGCACTCGAGCGGAGCAAAGATGGGGTGACCCGTCTGCTATGAAGCTGAAACTAAGATTACCAAACAGAGTAAGGGGAAAATCACACAAAAGACACAATTGTGTGGCATCAAGAACAGCCTTTAAAAAAAACAGGCTGACAAAACATTGGAAAGAGAATTCAGAAGATCCTTATATACCCCCCCCCCCCCCCCCCCCCCACGTCCTTCCAACACCTTTGATGAAGTAACTGCAGAAAGTGAAGAAGTGATTAAATCCAATAAGTGACAAATTAGTTTTGTATGTATGTACATGGTAACTAAATAACACACATTTTTTTTTTTTTTACATTTGTTAAAGACTCGACTGTCAACTTTATGCTACAAATGTATTTTTTTTTAACAGATGATTTAAAAAGTTTTGTGAATATGTGTTTATTTTGCTCTAATTTTGTGTGTATGTAATATGTGTTTGTTTGGCTCTAATTTTGTATCTATGTTATATGTGTTTGGCTCTAATTTTGTATGTGTGTTTGTGAAATCAGTTTAACTAATTTGCTTTTGTTTGTGCAGTGAAGGAGGGCTACAATGGTTGTCCAACATTCTCTGTCTCTTGCCTTGTTTATATTTTTCTAATACTGTCTATTTAAAAAAAAAAATTACTATCATTATTAACTGGGAGTTGCTGTGACATAGCGGCTAGACGCTTAAAGTGCAGATCGGAAGGTTGTGGGTTCGTTTCTTGGCGGAGCCTGACTTTTTAAAAAAATGACCTCGACTTCAAGGTCGACCCAGCCTTGAGTGGGTACCGGGTGCAGTCGCGGGAAGTAAAGGCAGCCAGCGTGATGCTGACCACATCACCCATCTTGTGCCGTTTGGTCTATAAAAATATAAGTCTAGCCCTATACGCCTAAAGGCGGGGAAAAGGGTCCTTGACTGATTATTATTAACCATGAAATGATGTACTGTCATTAGTAAAGTAAGTAAAGGACCCTTTTCCACACCTTTAGGCGTATTGGGCATATAGGGTACAGATTATATAGACCAATTGGCACTGGGTGGCTAATGTGGTCAGCATCACGCCGGCCGCCTTTACTACCAGGGATTACACCTGGTACCCACTCAAGGTGGGATGCTCAGACCATTTATGAAAAAAAAGCCCATAGGGCGCGAACCTACGACCTTCCGATCCGCAGGCGAGTGTCTAGCTGCTACACCATGGCAACTCCCTATGGACTGTCATAATTTTCAGTTTTTCTAGAAATAAGTAAATAAATGTGGTGAGAAAGCTTTTGTTTGAAAGAGGCACACATTGGGCATGCAGTCCTGTCTTTGATTTGATCTTAGAAGCACTGCGTGGTCTCAAGACATGGTGTCCATCTCGAGCGCTAGAGGTTCCGGGTTCAATGCTCGAGTAAAGGCTGGGATTTTTACACACAGACTTGGACTTCTAGTAATTCCCCCTGGTCTTTGGGTAGTGAGATCGAATTCCCGTGTTGAGGACGTAAAAAAATCCCTTGGCAGTTGGAAATCGGAGTCTCCTAACAGCGTTGCCTGGGCAAAATTTAGAGTTACAAATCTACCCAAAGTATTTCAGGATCCTCGCCGGTACTACAGAGCCTGTGCATTGTGCTGAGCTTCTTCAGACTCAGATTTGAGATGGAAGAAGAACGGAGCACTTATGGGTAACTACCCGTGTGCCATGATGTTGATCTGTTGTTCAAATCTCAAACCTCATTTGGCACTACCAAACACTCAGCTTTTAAAAAGCAGTTGTATGTTTATCTAAAAATCTTTTTTTTTCTTCTTCTTTCAGTAGTATGCATATTATGAATATCTAGTAAAACCACAGCTCCCACCTCTATTAGTTTGTGTGCTGACACACCTCCATGCTACACAACAAGACTGTCAAGAATCTTCTCTCGTTGTCTTCCTCTATCACTTCT